CCGCGATTATGGCTAATGTGGGACCCACAAACGCCCACACCATACCGGAGTCGGTGTCCAACCAACACATATAGTCATTACCATATCCATGAGAGTTGTATCCCGCTGTTATTCCTACAATCACCAATGGCAGTACTACGGAAAGTCAGAATAATGGTACGTGCTGAGTAGGCGTAATTACTTATCATCAGTGTCAGTTATTGCCGCTTAGACTGGATTTTTCCGATTTGTTCCACTCATGTCTGATTGATTTATATGCCGATAAAAACAGCGATTGGCAGCACGTCTCAATGTATGTTAATTTTTTTGAATAGTGCACGCGACATACATCGATCAGATAAGTTCTAGTTTTCACCAGGAGTTTCTTAAATCAGTCAATATTAATAACTCATTTACGTGATTCCCGAAGGACTGATTTGTATTGTGAACTAATTATATCACAGGTGCTTGAAGGCTTTTAAAATTGACCTTCGATTTAAGAGCATTTACTCTTCCGGAAATGTTGTCTGTGAAACCGTAGCTAATCCAGCGCGACTCGGTTTATACAAGTTGATGAATGTATATTTATGGATTAATAAATGGGTTTTAAAGCATCAATTTCCTCAAGTTAGGCTAGGCATAGAGGAAACCCAAAACTTACGCCAGCCGAGAATGATGAGGTACTTTAGTCGAAACGATCCTCTCTCAAATACTTGAACCACTTGCCGGTAAAGATGGATTCCTTCTACCAGCATCATCGAAAATACAGCCAGGAAAAAATAGTGTAACGCCATGGCAACGAACATACAGAACCACTGCAGTAAGATAATAAAATATAAGCATTATCCCGGTATTCCATCAATGTTATAAATCTACTGATTGTCAATATACGTTAATGTAATTGAATACCCTGCGATACGTAGTTTCTCCACTACTTCCATTCTCACGTATTGGTGATTTTATACAAAGAAATGATTCAATACAAAAACAGTTAATGAAACTAACCTTATTGAATGTAGCGGAGATACCTCCCACGAAAAGACTCTGGGCGATAAGCAAAGCCAAACTAAGATTACGGTGTATCATCGTTCGTTCACCAGTGGAATGCCTGCATAGAATGACAAAACGAATAAATTGTTTTGCGGAATCGAAGTCACTGCAGTAGTAGTAATAGTAGTGGTATACTATAAGGTTATTACGAAGATACCTCAAAGTATGCACGAAGACAGTACAGCGGCAGATGCGCGTCGGTCGATGCGACAGCATACTGTCTGAGTGCATACGTTGAGGTATTTTCGTAATATCCTTATTATTATATATCTTTTCCTTCCAAGGATACATCATGGAAATGCCGAAATCCAAAAAGTTTAGAGCAGAATCAGCGAACTTCTTTGTATGGAGTCCGGTCAAATCCTGGCGGCAGAAATGTTTGGTTTTATTATTAGAAGACGCTTACGCGCGTAATCATTCCATATCTGGAATTCGCATTTCCTAATATGGTAGTATGGAAATTCCCCGTAAAATACCGTAAAATTACGGCACGCTGTAACTTATGGCGTTACGGTGACAGATGTATAATAATTATTGATAACTCACCTTACATACATAAAAATACCCAAGGTTAAAATTAATGCCACTATACTAATGCCACACCCCGTGTATGTGATAAAACTCAGAGCGGTTGCATGTACTTCGATCATCTGAAAAAAACAAACAAACAAAAACAAGGTTAAACTCACACTCTAATAAAATGGATCACAAGCATATAAGTTAAATCGTATAAGAACGGAGCTTCCCCTGAGGTTTCTCTGTCATGAGTTTACTACAAAATGCGAACGTCAGAAATGTACATTCACTCTATGTTCTTTCCGCTGGCAATTACATGCGTGTCATTTCAATTTGAACGAGGGATTTGAACCATAATTTTGCGTCGTTCCGCTTTTATCGCCCATTTAGAGGCGCTCTGAGCTTTATGATAAAGAAAGTATAGTACAGTACAGTACAACAACGCCAATTTACTGCACTAGTTGTTCTTTCAAGTTCAAGTCAGTAGAAAGAGCGTTGTGAGACATATTTGTTGAACCCCGATGATAACATTATTAGTCGTGTGAAACTAACTTGTCACATGACATTGTCGTGAACGGTAATATAAAAATATAAACAAAATATAACTTAAATAAATGAAACATGTCATGACATTTAATATATACTAACTACCCAACACGTTACACTGTATATTGCTTATATCAACATGGACGTGAAACGGACATAATTCATTCAGCTTTGATAATCAAAATTATCAACTGAAATTATAATAATAACTGAAATCAAATTAAGATGTGTCCGTTGAAATAAAAATATGCTGTTAGTTGATTCGTAGTAAAGTAGACGATGTCTACAAGAGATACAGCTCTACATGAGATTGCATTTTAATCTGTTCGTGAAAGTTGAATATGAATATATTATATGTAAATTATACTAGTAATTCTTTATTTCACATCACGATGCAAAGAACGTCGGCAGCGCATACCTCCACACCAGTGACCTGCATGAGCACGGCAAAGCTAGTAAGATGGCTCGCCCCACAGCGAACATGAGTCGCATTGTAATCGATAAGTACCATTCCTTTGCTGGACCAAACACTGTACAAAGTAAAACATGTGAACACGAGTACAGTCAATGACAGTATATATATATATATATATATATATATATATATATATATATATATATATATATATATATATATATATATATATACAAACTACAAATTACTACGCCACCTATGTATATTATATATATATATACCTATATACAAAGAATTTCAACTGTCTGTCTATAACACTTAAAACATATATATATATACGATAGTTTTAATAATATTTAAAATTTATATTGCGTGTTTATATTTTCGTAATGTACATGTAATTAATGTTAATAATAAATGAATTATAAAAACTTACTTTGTAAACGTATTAAGATACACACAGCTTGGTTCTGTTTTCTTTTTATTTCCTCTTCTAAAAACAAATTCTATGTTTTGTTCTAGCTCCGAAACATGGTTTTGGATAATGGAAGCAGAAATGAGCGGCGAATTTAACGTCATGCCAGCAAAGGTAACAGATGGTGGATGTTTATATGTTACAAACGTAAATGTCAAATCGTCATCTGCGTATAAAATGAAAACAGCGATACTTATTAAAATGGCAATACCGAGTCAGTGATGTACGTTAACAAATAATTACACTGACTATATATCCATAATGATATCGAGGGTAATCTCGACAATTACGAGGGCCGGCAAACGATCGATTGGTTTTTACCTGTGTTAATCGTTTCTGCAGTACTGGATGGGAACGTTACGTGAACGTTATTAGATAACTGTTCGTCTTCGCCGGTGCTTACTGAGGCATATTCCAAACCATTGAACGTCGATCGAAGTTGTTTTCTGATACCAATATCTGTATGTATTAACCAGAATAATTTGTGGGCGCATATTATGCATAAGTGAAAGCTCCATAGATCAAAGTGAACTCCGTTCGTTTGAGATTATAATTGATTAGATATTAGACTTACCAACATTATCAGTGGTGATATCTGTGTCCACCTCAACAGAGTTAGCAATGCGCATGGTGAAATTTTCCATCAGTTCGGTTATATCAGCCAATGATGTTAGTTGAGAATTGTCTTCAGACTCCTGTGTTACATGAAATGAAATAAACAAGCAAAAAATATTGACTGAGCTCGCATTGTTTGTTTTTATTAATTAAGAACTTGACTCACATATTATTTACGTCAAACATGGCATGTGGAATTAT